TTAGAGACTCCGCCGAACTTTCCAAACTTCCTCGAACTTCCCCAAACTTCCACGAACTTCCCAAACTTCCTCGAACTTCCCCAAACTTCCACGAACTTCCCAAACTTCCTCGAACTTCCCCAAACTTCCACGAACTTCCCAAACTTCCTCGAACTTCCCCAAACTTCCTCGAACTTCCCCAAACTTCCTCGAACTCCCTTGTGTCTGTACACTAAAGTTCCCACGTGATTTACCGTTACCACCGAACGGATTTACCCCTCGATATATACCTCCATGAAAATAGACTAAGTTGAAGACCAAAATATTCATCAATGAACTATTTCTCATTTTTCTTTGATGTTTTTTGATTTATTGTTCTTTTTTTCACTTCATTCTCTGACAAATACAGTTTTGAAAGTTCCTATAATGAATTTTGTACATCCATTTCCTTCACATTCAATTGTATTCTCTCATTTGAATAAAATCATTAGGATGTTATGTACAATTAAAAGTTGAATTCATACTTTATATATAATTTATAATTTCGATCATACCTTTTCCATTCGAGAAGATATCAAAATGAATCAAGCGGCGTTCAATAGTAACTATTTGTATATGTCCACAATTGACATGAAGAAATTTACCATGAATAATGAACAAACTATTCAGTACGTCTACATTTACTCTCATGAGGGGAATAATGGGCAAAAATAATTAAAAAAAGGAAATTCAATTATAGATTACCCTATCGGAATATGCTATCAATTGGTCCTGGTTTTCCAATTCATACATCAACTACAATGAGCATAGGTAGGGGATACTACTTTTTCTGACCTAATGGTTTTCGAAATATGCCAGTCCCTTGTCCACTATTAGCGAGATAGTCCATTATTCCCCTCGTCTCCCCTAGTAGTCAATTGGTAAGCCGTGTAGCAATTGACATGGCAATGATATTTTGACAACAATACTACCAAAACTAGGCTTTCGAAACATTCCCAAACCACAGTTTAAGGAATGGGTATGTGCCCAAACCCTGTTGTCGAATTGGTCACAGTGAATCACGTGAAACATTGTGAACACATTCTTGAAAGCACAAATCAATACACCAATGTTCACAGAGTGGGCTGACACCATGCTTTTATAGTGGACCAGAGTAGGTCAAACTCTCGGGAAAAACTCACAGCCTCCGCAATTTGTTTGCAAAAAATAATCATCAAAAAACAGGAATACTAACATATCACGTGATGGAAATCATTTGAAAGATTTTACGGAAGCGTTGAAGGACCACTGTTGTGTTTATTTCATTTCATCTCTTATTTCAGACGTTTTTTTCTGAATTCAGCCATTTTCCTGTGAACAAAATTCATGCTTTGATATTAAATTTCATGTTTCAATCTGGTTCGATATAAGTACTCTATATATAGCTTCCCAATCTCTAAATCATCATATATAATTGATGAATCAACTTAAAATGTATTGAATGCATCATGTTTTATCAATCTGGATACCAAAATTCGTGGATGATGATATACCTACACAACATCAGCAACATTATTTATTCACATGGGAGAATGCAAGACGATGAGTGAATTATATTAGACCCAAATCTCATGATTCATACACGGTTTTGATTTATTCGTGATTGGTCAGGGTGAAACTAGGTGTTAATTTCATATAAATAATATTTTAATACTATAATGAATGTATTTTTTGCGTTAACTTCAATAAAAACGACTACTTTCGGAATTAATTAGTTTTCATCCTCTTGGTGTTTCTTTTCAATGGATATTTCAGATCCCCTTTTGACTATCACATCCGTGTGATATTTCTGCACTATGAAGGTGTCAATCGACACCACTGTACACAGTATCATCAAATTTCTGATAATATTGATATAATATTGGTAATCAAGTCTTTATCAGTCCTGGATTTATCAATAGGGTGGCGCTCGCTTGCTTGCTCGCTTTCATAATCGTGACACAACGAACTTACCTCATAATACAGGTGAATTTTTTCTCTTCAGGCTATTTTTTTCTCCCAAAATCGAGCGATAATCGCCCAAATCCAAATATCATCAATCATCAATCATATCCGCCATCTAGAACTTCTAGATTTTGACGAAAGAATCATAATCTTCGACCCCGAGAAATCCCAGATACTTATTTTGAATAGAATCGTATCATAATTAGGAAACTAGTCCGTCATTATGGATCCGCCATCTTGAATTTTCTAATTTTGACAAAGGAATCATTATCTTCGACTCCAAAACCTCCAGATACCAATTTTGAATTGAATCGTATTATAATTACATAACCCGTCGAGTCATATATTGGATCCGCCATCTTAAATTTCCCAATTATGAGGAAGTTATGTACTTATTACCCTATCCCGGACTGAGAGAAATTGGAAAAATATCAAATATCATAAAAATTGGTCCAGCCGTTTTTGAGTTATAAATGGTGTAACTTCGAGTTTCACAGAACAAAGTCTGGATTAAGAAAAAAGTCTAAGTTCAGATAAATAGTCTGATTTCACGAAAATAAGTCTAAAATCAGAGACAAAATTCTTGAATCACAGGAAAAAGTCTAAATTCAGACAAATTAGTCCGAATTCAGAAAAACGTCGGAATTCACAGAAAAAGTCTGAATTCAGCGATGATAGTATGAATCCAGACAAATAAGGCAGAATTCAGAGAAAGAGTCTGAATTCAGAAAAATAGTCTGAATTCACGACAAAAAGCCTGAAATCAGAGACAAAATTCTTAATTCACTGGAAAAAGTCTAAATTCAGACAAAATAGTCTGAAATCAGAAAGAAGTCTGAGTTCAGCGATAATAGTGTGAATCCAGACAAATAAGGCTGAAATCAGACAACATTCTCAATTCACAGAAAAAAGTCTAGATTCAGACAAAATAGTCTGAATTTAGACTTTTTCTCTGAAGACAACATTCCTAATTCACAGAGAGAAGTCTAAATTCATAAAAAAGTCTGAATTTACAGAAGAAGTCTGAGTTCAGCGATGATAGTATGAGTCCAGACAAAGGCTGAATTCAGAGAAAAAAGTTTGGATTCAGAGAAAAAATTTTAATTCATGAGAATAGTCTGAATTCACAAAAAAGTCTACAATCAGACACAAAATTTTAAATAGCCAGAAAAAGTCTAAATTCAGACAAATAATAGTCTTAATTTTTACTTTTTCTCTGAAGATAAAGTCTAAATTCAGGAAAATAGTCTGAATTCACAAAAAAATCCGAAATCAGAGACAAATTTCCTAATTCACGGAAAGAAGTCTAAATTCAGACAAAATAATCTGACTAAGTATGAGTCCAGACAAATGTTGAATTCAGAGAAAAAAGTCTGGATCCAGAAACAAAATTTTAATTCATGAGAATAGTCTGAATTCACAAAAAAAGTCTACAATCAGACACAACATTCTAAATTCACAGAAAAAAGTACAAATTCAGACAAATAATTGTCTGATTTCAGAAAAATGTCTGGATTCACAGAAAGAAGTCTGAATTCACAGAAAAAATCTGAATTCAGCGATAATAGTAATATGAATCCAGACAAATAAGGCTGAATTCAGAGAAAAAAGTTTGAATTCAGAGAAAAAAGTCGGAAATCAAAGATGAAATAAAATACACATAACAGTGACCAGAAGATTAAAGTTTTTAATCTTCTCCTGAAGATGCCAACATAGTTAGCGAAACACACGTTTCGAGGCGTTGAAAAATCGGTTTGGTTAGTGGTAAAACAGTGGAGTGTATTATCGTGCCAAAGGTTCCAGTCTTCGATATATACCTATTATTAATTCACACTTCCTTTTCACATCCTCCATCCCAAATATGAAATTATAAAATATACTCGATTGAAAAATATAACTTCGACGACTTCTACGCGCTAACCAAATCCTCTATTCAAACAAATCAAAATAGTTTATGAAAACAGCACAAAACACATTGATTTGTTATTGAGAAAATGACGCGTTTCACTATGACAACATATAACAGTTAGAAAGTTCGAAAGTGAAACTCACATGGGTGGAAATATTCGAAAATCGCACAGTAACAGGGTCTATAGATTATGATGTACCAATGAATGATTATTATGCTGAATTATGGTAAGTTAAGTTATGGTCAAGTTAATGGAAAGTGTCGATCTAACATGAGTTATTGTCGTTAATGTTGACGTGATGTTAAGTTGATGAAAACTTTAAATCAAGTTAATTTCAATTGAAAGTTGAATTAATGTCAATGTATTGGCAATTTAGTGATTGATGTGAAGTTAATGTCAATTTGATATTGAGTTGATGTTAATTTGATTTTGAGGTAATATCAAGTTAATTTTGAGTTAATGTTGAGTTAATGTTGATTTATTGTTGAGTTAATGTTGATTTAATGTTGAGTTAATGTTGAGTTGATGTTGAATAATTATTGAGTTAATGTTATGTTGATGTTAAGTCAATGTTTGGTTAATTTTGAGTTAATGTTGAGTTGATGTTGAGTTAATGTCAAGTTAATTTCAAGATAATGTTAAGAAACTGTTAAATTTATGTTAAGTGGATGTTAAGTTAATGTTGAGTTAATGTTGAGTTCATATTGAGTTAATGTTAAGTTAACGTTAAACTAATGATGTCATTTTAATATTGAAGAAAAATTAAATAATAATGCTAATGATGTCACCTTCATGTTATCGAATATATGATTGGAAACATGATCCCTATTCTGGTCTTATAAACACTCATGACATATAATATAAATATTTGTGGTCGTAGGAAAAATAGTGTACAAAACTCGTTGGAAAGTGCATTTCCTGCGCTCGTTTCACTTTCCACACTAGTTATGTAATATACTATTGCACCACTTGACATAATTGACATATCACAAATCATATTTATTTGACCTTGGATGTGCCAAGATGGTTACAACCGGCAGCCGCGCTTCCCGGGCGCATGTCCGCCGCTTACGCAAGCCTTCGAGCGCCGTTGGACGTCCTGTCGACGCCAAATAAGCGTGTCAGTCTGGCGTCGCGACGCGAACGTACTCCTCACTCAACGCTCGCTCGATCTCGGAAGGTCCGACGGAGATACGGATCAGAGAAGTAACCTACATGTTCGTGATTCGTGCTGATTTTCACGTTTGTTAGTGTGGATCTGTAGCCCTCGGAAGAGGTGAGTTGCGAAATGAGGCGCTTTTCCTACCGACTTCCTTTGGTGGATTTGCGGAGCTGCCGCTGTGCTGCCACCTCCCCCCTACAGAGAAGTTTTCTGGCGTAGAAATTTATTATGATTTATAGGGAACAACACTGCAATTTGTGGCGAGCCTTTTATCATGATATCGGAGACAGGGACTTACCATCAGTGTTGCCAACTCAGATTTTCGAAAGTCGCTAGATGGCCACGTGGAAAGCACCAAAAAAAATTGTAAATCTAGTGATTTTCATGTGGTTTCAACTCACAAACTCACTCACTTCTCTGGAACACCGTAGAAAAGTTGGCGATCTGACTCTTTTTTATAGATATTTTCATGGACGATGCTCTTCTGAAATAACAACAATTGGTCTTCCCCTTATTGGCAGTCCCCACGCGATTAACCCGTCGAGTTGAGGCTTCGTAGCCTTTCGTGGTCACTTTGAAGACATGTGGAACATCTCTATCCAAAGACTCGTTCATCCAACGAACAGTGGGGCTATCTGGAACACATTGCCAAGGGAGGTGTTCCCCGAGGCATATGACCTCCAGAAATTTAAAAAGAACGCCCATTCCTACCTTATTTCCTTTGGTTCTCACGATGTTCTCTTAACATTACATGATATCCCTTTTCGTGGGAACCAGAACATAAAAAAAAACTTCGGTTTAGATCGCTACATAACACCAGAAAAAATCTTGGGTTAATGATATACATAAACAATCAGAGGTCAGGTGAAAAAAGTTAGTTTTCTTCTAACATTCACTTTCAAACCATGAATATGGATATAGAGCAACCAGGAAAAAACTAACGAAATAATACATTCTTCATAACAAAAATGTTACATATGAAGCAAACAACAAACTCTCCTTAGTGAGATCAGCCAAAATGTGGGTAGGTAGGTATACATGTAATCGTCAGAAACTAGTTGTAGTTGAAACTAGTTCTCCTATACTTGTAGCTTGTTGAAATTGAAATTTCATATGAAACAAGGAGATTTCAGAATTCAGGTGCTCAAACCACCAGATTTCACCATACATTTGAGAAAATTCACCAAAATAAACAGCCACATTTCGTCACAAAAATTCAAACCATCAGTTCTGATCCACTGGCAACACTGCGGATGGTGCATCTCTATCTCGCTGCCTTGAGGGCGTTCTTCAATTCCCAATTTTGTTGGCAACTTTTTTTTTCGCTGCCTGTTCAAGTGATGCACCTTCCCTTTTCTCCCGGCTGTTAGGGGGATGTTTCAGTCGTAGAAAAATGCGGGATATCAGTGCCTCGGCAAAGAATATTGAATTCTAGGTCTCAGGTTTGTCTCGGGTTTGGTGGAGGTCACGTGTTCTTGCCAGATGGCCCTTAGTTTGACGTCAGTAGAGGTGTGTGTCGGGTGTGTGCAGGTCACATGATTGATACTTTCATTATCGCTGCATTTCCCATACAGGGTCAGGACTGATACAGACTTTGTTTCATCTTCCATCAGAAGTTACACATCTGATCTGAATAGAATCTCGAGAATACCCTGGTGGAACATTAGTTTTATTCTCGGTTTTATTTATTCTTTCTTTTCCATAATTACTCCTAAAATTATCATTTTAAACTTAGAAGTTTGACATCTCTTAGAAGGTTAATCATTGATGTATTCTCAGATTCAAAATAGTTTCATGAATGATTCAAGTGTTTTCAAGAAAAACGGTCCATTTGATTTAATGGTACACTCTTTTTCTCTTCAGTGATGAAGATGAAAAAGTGAAATTTGAATTAACTTCAATAATCATTAAACGTCACTTTCTTCCACTTCAAATATCAACGGAAGTGGAAAAGAATTCTGTATATGTCAACAATTATGTACTGTCTGGGAGAGTTATTCATTTCATCTTCTTCAAAAGAATAACAGATCAAAAACTCAACACCCCACAGCTCAAAGCGCGGCACAAGAACGGAGAATCTTCACTAATATGATATATCAGTTGGTCAGAAGGTCACACAACAAAACATAACAACGTTGACGCCATTTTATTTCTAGCTTGAGGCGAGACTCCTTCGAAGTTCGAGCGAGTTTGATTCTTATTCCTGTTCAGAAGTGGTAAATTTGGTATCTCACCCGAATATCCCCTAACAACACAGGGATGTCCTAGGTGCGTCCATTGGATGTCCCGCCAGAGGTTGTCCAATGGACATACCACCTGGTACATTCCTAGGTTATCCCATTCGTGTCCATGGAATATCTGATATCCATTCTTCACATCAGAGAGTCATTGAATTTCATCAAAATATTGAGTCGAATTTTTTCGAAAATGTATTTCTTCCGGACAATAATTGTGATGAAAATAAAGAATATAGTCTCAAAACTTCTCAAGAAATGACCATTTTTCGCAAACAGAGATCGTAAATGCATAATGCGCCTCATTTTTAAACACCCAAGAATGATAAAATAATTATACCCGAATCCTAACAGTTTTATTTATCCAGGTTTCTGTAGTTGTCCTGTTTATAAATCTGTTCAATACATGAATCTTCAGAAGGCATATTAGCCAATGGAGTTAGGTGCGTGCCTGATAAGCTGAAGGTCCCGGGTTCAATCCCTACTCGACCTACATTTTTTCTTTTGTCGAAGGGATGTCCCTGGGATATCCTTGGGACGTCCTAGGGATATCCCTTCTTTGTACTCGGTACATCCCAGGGACGTACCAGAAGGGACATCCCTTGGATGTCCTTTTTGTCTGAAAGCGGATGTCCCAGGGACGTCCCTAGTATGTACTTTGTCCCAAAAAAGATATCCCTGGGATGTCCTAGTTTGAAATTAGGGACGTCCCTGGGAAGTCCCTTGGATGTACTCGTGTTGTTAGGGTCACGACTATTTTGGAATTCATTCACAAAAAATCGAAATAACAATCAAAATTTGACACTCGACTGTATCTCAGAATGAATAACTTGCGGACATATTATTTAAACGACAGCAACATGCTCCTGAATTTGTCCTGTATATGTTGAAATAATTCAGTTAGTTTCGCTAAAAACTATTGACCGAGAAATTTGTTAATTTTATATGGAAAAAGATTAGGAGCCAGGGGCCTCCACTCATTTGTTGCCCCAGAGCCTCGCGGACATATTATTTAAACGACAGCAACATGCATCTGAATTTGTCCTGTATATGTTGAAATAATTCAGTTAGTTTCGCTAAAAACTATTGACCGAGAAATTTGTTAATTTTATATGGAAAAAAATTAGGAGCCAGGGGGCCTCCACTCATTTGTTGCCCCAGGGCCTCCAGACCTCTAAATCCGGCTCTGAGCAAATTATATACAGTGTGTTTCATTTCTAATGAAAACACCCCTGTATCTCACGTTGGAAAAGAATCCTGAAATTTGCTGGAGCGAGAGATATACCAAAAATGCACTCTATGACCAAGTGGGGTCATCTTCAGTGATGTACACTGCTCGCTAACAGCCATGGAACCACTTCAATCTCCAGAAAATGATATTAGGAGTCAAAATAGGTTGAAAATGACTCCGGATTCGGAATCATCAGGATGCCTAATTCACTGACTATTCATATTTTTCCTAACAATTTTCCAGTTCTGAAAATTCCATTTTTGTCTCACTTTTTATGGAAACACCCGTTGGGATCCTGAAATTTGAAGTCCTCTTCAGTGATATACACTGCTCTCAGATAGCCCTGGAATACACAAATGTCCAGAAAATGATATGAAGAGACGAGATGTTGTTGAAAATCACTTCGGATTCGAAAACAGGACGTCCAATTCACTAACATCCCATATTTTGACGATTTATTATCGGTTACGACTTTCTTCATACTATTAACGAATTCATTCATTCATATTTCATTTCAATGACACCCGTAATGATTTCTGGTCCATTGGATCACTCCTGATAATCTATTCGATTGTACTAGTTCTGATTTTAATTTTATTATTCCTGATCCCTGCCAAAAATGTCTCATAGAAACTTATAAAAAAATATATATGAGAATTAATGAGAATGAAGTTGGATAGTGAAACAGTAATTCCGTATAATCCTATGTATTTTGCAGATCCATATATAATCAGTTTCTAATGGCGATTCTCTCCCTTCTTCTTATAAGTATGAACTGTTTTTCGCAGATATATTCATAATCAGTTCCAACTAGTAATTCCTGGTTATTTACATATGAGAATATATCAGAGTCAAGTTGGATAGTGAAACAGTAATTTATAAGCTCGAAATGTATTCTGCAGTTACATTTATAATCAGTTCCTAATGGCAATCCTCAATGGAGTCGATGAGTTTGAACTGTAATTCACAGATACATTCATAATCGGTGCTAAATGGCAATTCCCTATTAAAACATCGTAATTCATGATTTTGAAATGTGTTCTGCATGTACATTCATGACCGGTTCCTAATAGCAATTTCCAACGAAGTCTTTGAGTATGAACTATGTTTTACAGATACATTTATAATCAGATTTTGATGGCAATTCCTCATTGAAACACTGTGGCATTCATGAGAATGGAATGTGTTCTGCATATACTTTCATGATGAGTTTCTAATAGCAACTCTATGAGTATGAACTCTGTTTTGCAGATACATTTGAAATCAGTCCCTGATTGCAATTTCTTATTGAATTAACGTGGCATTTATGAGTTTGAAATGTGTATTGCAGATACATTCATAATGAGTCCCTTATAGCAATCATCATCAGTTCCTAATTGGAATTCCCCATTGGAACACCGTAGCATTTATCAGTTCGAAATGTGTTTGACAGGTACATTCATGATGGGTTTCTATTGACAGTTCTTCATGTACTCAATGAGTATCAGCTGTGTTTCACAGATACATTTATAATCAGTTCTTAATAGCAATTCTTTTCGAAGTCTTTGAGTATGCACTCTGTTCTGCTGATACATGTATAATCAGTTCCTGATTGGAATTTCTCATTGAAATACCGTGGCATTCATGAGTTGAAAATGTGTATTGCAGAT